CATGGCCAATCACGAAATATAATTAATGACAACCAAATTTTGACGTTCATGAGCATAGCTTCACCCATACAAAAGTGGCAGCTCAAAGAACTCTATTTCTTATGAGAACGCGATAAAATTGAACCTTCTAGAATGTAAAAGTAAGGCTCTTAATAATCTGACAAGGTGACCCCTTATCCAGACTATTTGGACACTCTTAATCAATTGCGGGGTGTGCGATAGACTTACCTCCACGTGGTGCACCCTGGGTAACGTATACTCATACGGCAAAAACGGTCGATTAACTGGCAGTTGACTTCTGACTTCAAACTACCATGACCCCACTGTATGTCATATTCGACTACTTTCGCAGTACTCATCTTACCTTTTTTACTTCCTTTGTGTCTGTCTCTTTTGCATCTTTGAAGCACTCTTCTGTTCCCCCCCCCCATCTCGACTTTTTTCACTTTGATATTTCTTCCCCTCTATGAAGCCTGAAGTCAACTAAAGGGCTAATGATAACTATCAAAACGCCTGCCATTTGGTATAAATAATTAATCAAATGCTATTTCGTGATTAAAGAATGCATTTTCCACAGTGCTATTAGCGATTACATTACAATCAAAATCCCAGAAATTTTTCCAACGGAATAAATTAATGTCCTAAAAATATTGCACACTTTTTTCCTTTGAGCGTTTTCATGAAAATAAAATTATATCGACATCAGTTATAATGGTATGACCCATGAATCAAACCCAATGGAGATAGGTAATAAGCATTTTTATATTCCTTTTCTTTCAAGAAATTAATAAGCTTTTGATAGTAAATTACAAAACAGTTGAATAAATTGAAATGCATTTTGGTATTTCTGTTTAGGTCAATTGCAGCTAATCATATGTTCTGGGAAAAGAGACTGGCAAGGCTCCAAGATATTAATTGGGGGGGGGGGGGGGGGGGGGGGGGGGGAGGGGGGGGGTAGTTAAACGTATTCTCAGACAATACGCACTTGGAAACATGTATGAACTTATCATATTTTATTGGAACAAGTTCATGCCGACTTTCATCACGAGCAACAGGAGTGATCATGGGGGGTAAAAGAAATGGTAGTTTAGACAGCAATGGGACTACTTTGAAGTTGATGAAGCTAAAAAGAGTGCAAATGAATGCTGCAACCTCTTTGACAGTTTTCCCCCCAGCTTCCCTTGAAAGATAAGTAATATCCGAAAGCTTTGAAGCCTCAAGAATTGAATATTATTGGATATTTAAAGATCCTGTCTGTAACTGGTGGCACGTTGGAATAGTAGTTTCAAGACTAGAATTCCCAAATTTGCCCACTCTTATTCTCATTAAATGTTCCATTGAGAGCCTTGTAATCAATATTTTAATCGTAATTTCTACATGACCTTACACTTGAAACTCCTCCTTTACATATACTAAATTGTTCAATTTAATCAATGCGTGAAGAAAAGCTGTTATCGATTCCCCCACCCAAATGTTGATCCAGGTTGCTCAAGTTTGATCATTGCCAGTCATTTGTTTTACCTGACATGTCCTCTTAAGCACCAGATGCCTACGTTACCAATAGACTCAGATCGGTCAAATTATATAATGCTATCGTGTAAGAGGTGATTAGTGAAATGGCTAATTTGAACACTGTCTCAAAGTATGAAAATGAGCACTCTATGACTAACAGATTGGTAAAATACAGACGGGAAATCGCAGATCGACAAATCGTCTTTGTTTATCTTCCTACACCAAATTCGTCCTTCGACAACGCTTTCAAATGACTGCCTTTGTAAACCAACCCCCACCCCCACCTCCCAGATTACGCCTGGGATACTTAAACCACCACAAAAATAAACTAGGCATTTTGAATGATTAGCAAGAAAGCACAAATCCTTTAATAGAGAAATAAAAAGATTATAGAGATGGATAGCTTAAAAAGTTATGTTCATAGGGCTGGCCAGTAATAGAATAGTGACGAGGGTTTCACACCCAGAGAGGAGGGTGGAATAAGGTAAAAGAGAGATCTAGTGCAGGATGGATTAACTCTGTTTGCACAATTGATTGGGTTCGAGTTCGGTGCACAACTTCTAATAACACCCGATATCTATAAGATATGTTCCTATTTCATAAGAAATTTCATTTTTCTTGGAATAACTCTTTGAACACGCTAAATAACTTGATTCAAGCCTTTGTTTATTAGGACCCAATAGTAAACCTGAACAACCAAATCTCCTATTCCACATTAGAATTTAATACCTGTTACTGGTTGTTTAAATTGGCAAAAATTTAAAGTTGATCGCCATTGAAATTAGGCCAGGAGTTCAAACTTATTGATGTTTATTTAAATAATCACGCGTGCGAATGAAAGTGACAATAAAGACGCACGTATGCCTGAAATTATAGTTCAACCAGGTATAAACTTTCGAAATTTTAGATTAATATTGAAGCGAAACATCTTGATAATACGTCATTTGTTTATTAATTTTTAAATTATATGTAGCTGTAGCCACTAAGGCCTGGTTATTTAAAACACTTTCTAGAGTGACACTGTAATAATATCGATGACTGACACCTAGACGATAATAAAAAACAATACTGCAGTATGTTTAGTAAAAAATATGCTTCAAATACGGGGAAAGCATTTTCTTATTATGGAAAATAAGGATTCACTAGATGATTGATTGTGTCTTGTTATTTACTTTCATGAAAATTAGGGCAATTCAAAATTTTTTCTACTTGTAGATCTTGTTAGATTTCATTCGTATTCTATGGTACATTATGGGGAATTAACACAGTTAAGTGGGGTTAAATTAATTTAGTTTATTAAGGATCAGGTTGATAATCAAATGTATAAAATATACACAGATATATTCGAGCTTGCCTAAGTCTAGTGTTAAGCTATCTGAATGAACTCTACATTGGAGTTGCTTTTTGAAATTAAAAAAATGCTGACGTAAGTTTAATAACTAATTTTCGCTTAATATGCAAATAACCTTTCTATTTACATTTTTCGTCTTTGCAATAATTATCCACTTTAAGCAAAATTTTTAACACCTACAGAGAATAGTAAAATAAATCTAACGTTTAATCTTCCTTCTGTCTTTAAGACTCTGAATCAATGCGCGTTTCCAAATGACACTGAACAGTTGACAGCAATCTAACAAAAACTGCTTCTTGTACGTTAACATTACATCATGTGCATGAAAAACCTTGAACAATAGCAATAACACCGATTTTTTTCAACATTCGAAATAGCTAAACTGAGCAAATGCCGCAGAAAATTCCTTAAGTACAAGTGTACTTTTCAATTCAATCGACCAATGAAATCTATTCTATAAACTATATGACTAAATTTTAGAGGGAGACTAGAAATTAACATGGAGTCTGGCTTTAATATTTAGGGTGACCCAACTTTTCCTCAAGGTCCCTCGAAAGATGTACTTACCTCTATACTTTCTCGGGGAAAATCTCTACCTCTTCATTTTCGTCACCATCGAATTCCCCCGTATAGCTTCCTGACTGTTGAGCAACATTGGCAAGAAGGCCTTCTTGACTTGGTCGTTGATGGGGCAGCCTTGCGAAAGCATCATTTTCCTCGATCTTGCGGAAGCAGTTGTGCTTTCGATAGACAATGGCTTGCAATGCCATCGTAGCTCCCAACATCTGACTGAATCCGAGGAAGAGAAAGGCAATTCGGTATCCACCTGTACTATCCTTAAGCATTCCTGAAGAAGGAACAACAGAAATCGTTTATTTCATTTGAAAGCCTTGGGTAAGGGTTTAGTCCCTGAAAAAAGACACCACGTTTGAATATCATGTTTCAAGGTTATCGGACGATACAAGCACTAAAATGGTGAATAATGTGATTAATCCCTATGAATAGTGAGGGACTAAGGAGAAGTTTAAAGATTAGAACCTTTCTTGGTAACAAAATAATACCATGTATTGGCTTCTTAGCAAGGTAATCATTACGATACGATCATTTGTTCTACGTATTTTTACATTACAAGACCTGGGGTGTGCGGTAGACTTACCTCCACGTGGTGCACCCTAGGCGAAGTATACTCATGCGGCAAAAAGTCTATAAACCGGCAGTTGACTTCTGAGTTCAAACTATCATGACCCCACTGTATGTCATATTCGACAACTTCCACAGTACTCACCTCACCTTTCATCTACCTTTGTGTCTGTCTCTTTTACATCTTTAAAACACTCTTCTGTTCCACCCTCCTCTCGACTTTTTTCGCTTTGATGTTCCTCTCCCTCTATGAAGCTTGAAGTCAACTAAAGGACTAATGATAACTATCATAAAGCCTACCATTTGATATAAATAAATAAATATTACAAGACCTAAGTCAATCATAACGGCGAGATTAAGCAGATTTTGGGAGCATTGATGTAGACTTTAATTTTGAGAAAAGGGTAGAAGAGAGCGTTTAAAAGGACGAGAAATGAACAACATGGAAGATTTAAGGATAGTACTGGTTAACTACGAAATGGTTGACAAAAGGTTTGGCAGAAATCTGTGCCCAACCAGTGATATGAATGACCAACCACGCTGATTATTTTAGGTCAAGAAGTGGTATGACGGAAAGCGAATTTGTCGCAGAAATGCCCTTCGTCCAAGCTGATTTCGTTCGTTTGAGAGTTGTATTAGAAGACCGAGATAAGAAAAATTAGACAGAAAATACACAGTTCCAATGG